GACTGCTCGAGCTTCTTTCGTCCATTCCAGCCTGCTGACCTTGACGGAAGAGTCAAAGCCTGAAGTCATGGTTTAATGAAAACCCAAAGGAGGGACGAGGAAGAGAGCGGACAGAAGAAAAGAACAATGTCAGGTGTTGGCATTGACAAAATAGTCAGTGGCAGATGAGAAGATGGATAAAATTGTAGAGGAAAGCGTTGAAACATTCATCCAGCTCAGAGATGGTCGGCTGCCTCGCCGTGCCTCATTCTCCACCGCAGCAATGTCAATCAGGAAGAAAATGAAATCTTTGTGACTCAAATTGAATTTGCACTGATGAAGGTCATTTCATTGAGCAAGAGGAGCAGCCTAATTCACAAAATGAGGATTGATTGGGATTGTTCCGTAGGCTATTTCTTCTTTACTGCCTTATCTTCTCGTCTCATTTTACCCAACTGTAACTCTAAAGTGTCTCTGGTGTTCAAACACACAAGTGTTGTCACTCAAGGACCCTGGAACAAAAGAGCTTGGCATCACATGATCAATGAGTGTTTGCTGTTTGTGAAATGCTTCTTCTGAAAAGTAAAGATTAGGCCTCAAACACTCAAAAACGTGACGTGGTTTGAAAGTGGCAGATTCGTCTTCGCACATGAACATGTTCATGTTTCTACAGTGTCTTGTGATGGAGAAATGACAAGTTCAAGAGCTTTTTCTTCTAAAATGAAGAGAGAACTTAGAGATCAGGTGGTTGAAGAGAAAACCACAACTTCTCGGCACAAGGCCCGGGCCGAACTTTTTCTCACAGCCGTCTGCACCGTGCTGTGTGATTGGTCAGAAGTTTGTGGGCGTGTTCGTCAATGCATCAATGCACTCGGACATTCTTCTGTACGAATCTTCTGTTGGGATTTCAGCTTTTTGCAGGCCCTTGAGTTTCTGGGTGGTGTCAGTGAGCAGCAGCTGGAGGTCATCCCACTAATTGGCTCCAGGAGTATGAGTCTGCAGAAGAGCTCCCCTCCCTGCTGGAGCATTACCTGCCAACTGGTATTTGCGCCTCCAGCCTTATAGTCAGGGCTTAATTTGTAAACTGATTGGTGCGGGAACAGCGGGCAGGCCGGGGGGCAGTGGGGCCCGTGGGTCCTCTCACAGAAAATTTTGAATAACAGAAATACCATTTCCTGCATTTCGGTGTATTTTAACGGGTTGTTATACATTAACATTTACTTACATTTGTAAACACAATAAAATTACTATTTTGGAGAAGAACAGCAGGTTGTGTGTGAATAGAGCAGCACCGATTCTGTCAGGTGTCCTAACCCCCCACTTCATGGTTCTGAGCTGAACTCTTCTCCGCTCCTGCTCCAGTCTCGTGGCACCATTGGAAGCACCTGAAGGATTCAGTTCTCTGTTGTCCAACTAAGGACAATCCATCCATCCATCCATCCATTTTTTATTAAAGTAAATTGGACTGTCTTTTTACATTTTGATCGCTGTTGTTTGAACAAATTAGCGCCATTGTTTTGAAATGTGAATAACATCAAACATTTCTCTCTTTGTATTTTTAATTTATTTTTTACAGTAAGCGTTTTTTTATTTATTATGTCTGAAATGTAGCAGGAGTTCAGGCACCTGCTGATGTTGTGCGTGCGCTCTGTAGAGCTGTCTGGAGACGCTGTGCATAACGTGCACTGTCCACAGGGCATTTATTTATTCTGTTGAATAAATGATCGTTTCTGTTTCGGGGTCTGAGGAGGAGAGGGGGTGTTTTTCAGTGCGCAGCACCGCTGAGTAGGGACAATATTTTGGAGAGGAGGAGGAGAGAAGGACTCCGCGCAGAACCTCCGTGCGTAAATGTGACCATCTGGAGCGTGCGAGCAGCTGGTTCGCTGCGTGTGCTGCGGCTGGAACATCCACTCCACAGAACTGGGTCCGCCAGGCTAAAAGGCAACATCTCCTCTCGTTGTATTTTTAATAAATAATCAAAATAAAAATTAGCGACGACTTTGGACTTTTTGGGGCGGAGCTGCCGGATCCGATCAAAGAGTTGCCGGAACACAACGGGTCAAAATGAGAGAGTTCCCTGATCTTGTTCCGGCAGGACCCGGCTCAAATTAACCACTGCTTCTAGTGATATTTTAAATAAATACTTACTTTCTGTTCTCTTTGTGCCTTTTCAGAGACTTGCATCCTGAGGCTATTCCCTGAGCCGCTCTCCTACCAACCTGAGCTCTCTATACTGGTTCCTTCCTGTGGATCACTTGTGGACTTGATTTCAGCTGCTCCTCCACCATCCAGCCACTAACCTGCCTAATCCTTTCACCACTGCGTCGTGCAAGCCTGGACCATCCTCGGTGGAGATCCTCTGCCCTCTCCTCAACGTCCCTGCAGGTTCTCTCTACTGTAAGATTCAAAGAACAGGATAACCACCATCTCTCCTCCATCCCCGAGTTTCCCTGATCCCTGCGCAGTACATAGTTTTCTTTCTTACTGTAAATAAATCACTTTTGTTATTTAAGAGTTTGAGTTCTGTTATCCTTCAGTCCATATTCTCTGGGTTCTCGTCCTCGCGACATCTTCAAACACACTAAACTAGTTTAATGGACAAAATCTCCTGGATGGAGATCGTGCACACATCGTGCACGGAATAGTCTGTCTGCTAAAAAGTGTGTCGCTCTCTTCATGACAGATCTGTGGCCAAACGGCGGCTGCAGGGACGGAGTGGAGACTCTGGTGGAAGAAACCCACGGTGACGTGTACTGCAGGGGGCGGGGCTTCCCAGGACTATGTACACTGTAGAAGCAGAACATGGACTCATCGATACTAGAATATTAGAATCAATACCTACAATCTCAGAATAATCATCTTTTAATCTGCAGATCTGTGTTCAGAGTCTCTAAGTTTGGAAAATGTGAGTCATTTTCCAGGTTTTCCCTGTTTTCCAGCATCACTGGGAACCCTGTTCGATGCTTCCTCTGCTTTTAAACAGTTTCTTGTTTTGTTTAAACTTGTTATCTTAATTAGCACTGCATGTGTACAGGATGGAAGTAGTTTGCTCTGAGCGAAGCATGAACTGCTGAAGTTTGGTTTTAGGCTTGATGTGGGAATAAAAGGATGACGGGAGATTGTTTGCAAACACTGAAAAGTTGAATAGTCAGAGGTAAAATCTAAAAGAAATCATAAAATTGCAACTGGGATTGTGTATAAACCATTAAAGATCTAAAAAAAAAAAAAACCCATGTTTATTCCCATAAAGTCCAATGTTGTGTGACTCATTTAACCTTTGAGTAATGGACCTGCTGTGTTGTCTCTTGGTAGAGATTCAAACAGGACCACTCATTACACAGAAATCCTGTTGGTTTCTATGGGGAATGCTTCAACAAATTTCATCTATGTCAACTATTTACTGCTGCAAAACGTCATAGCTGGTCGATGTTTGGATTTATTTTTGTACGGGTTTTTCCACAAGTTATGGGAGGAGCTGTGAATTTAAATTGTGATGCAAGTAAAGAACAATGGGAGAATAGTGAAAGGGTGCTGTGCAGGTTCTGTATTAACAGCCATCAAAAGTACCGTAATACAAGGACTATAGAGCATGCACACTAGATAAAAATATAAATAAATTAACAAAAATTTGTACATATATAAATACATGTTGTAACATGAGATATTTAGACTGAATTAAAAAAAAAACCCATTTAATTAAATACGTACTGGTAACATACACAGATACATACAGTAAATATTTTTTCTGAACAGTGCCGGCAACATGACTGGTTAAAAAAATACAGTAGCTTAACAGGACGTCAGTGATCCCCATCTTTATATTCCTCCTGCTGCAAGCTTGGGATCCACTGAGCAAAAGTTGCTATGCGCATGCAGGGCAGTCCCCCCTCACATGTTCTGCCCATGCAGGGCAGTCCCCCCTCACATGCTCTGCCCATGCAGGGGAGTCCCCCTCACATGATCTGCCCATGCAGGGCAGTCCCCCCTCACATGATCTGCCCATGCAGGGCAGTCCCCCCTCACATGATCTGCCCATGCAGGGCAGTCCCCCCTCACATGCTCTGCCCATGCAGGGGAGTCCCCCCTCACATGATCTGCCCATGCAGGGGAGTCCCCCCTCACTGCTCTGCCCATGTAGGGGAGTCCCCCCTCACATGTTCTACCCATGCAGGGCAGTCCCCCCTCACATGCTCTGCCCATGTAGGGGAGTCCCCTTCACATGCTCTGCCCATGCAGGGGAGTCCCCCTCACATGCTCTGCCCATGCAGGGGAGTCCCCCTCAAATGTTCTGCCCATGCAGGGGAGTCCCCCCTCACAGTCCCCCCTCACATGTTCTGCCCATGCAGGGGAGTTGCCTCTCACGAGGAGGAGGAGGGATCCCTCCCCCAAATTTTTTCCTCCCCTCCCCGTTTCATTGGTCCACTGTGACCTGTTCGGTAATTTCATTGGACAGATTTATTTTTAACCTTTATTTATACAGGTAGTCTCCTTGAGTCAGGAGGACCCACCGCCCCAAGAGAGATGTGTATTGTGCAGCTCTGTGAGCACCAAGCTAAATGTTTTTGGTGGCAGGAAGCTCGTTAGCCCGTCAAAAAACAAAACATAAATTAGCCGCAGCGTTCAAATCCATGTGAAAAAGTAGCAGCTTATAGACTAGAAATTACGGTAAAAGTTTCTTCATTTTAAACTTTTTTGTTTGAATTATAGAAGCATTTAATTTAATCTAAAAAGGCTCAGACTCTCAGACAACACTCTTCTGTAAAGGTTTCATTCATCATTGTTGAATTAATTCATTAAATTGAGTGTTAGTGGCTGTGCCACGTGCAGGTGATCATGTGTGGCAATGTGTGCACTGACAAAAGACCCAAAGTGAATAAACGAGATTACAAGGTCCTGTTCAACATTCAGATGAAAGGTTTCAACTCCCACTGGCCCCGCAGATGTAGGCACTTGTGACACAATCAGAGAATCAGGATAAAACGCCTGTGCCAAATAGACGAGTCAGAAAGAACTGCACTCACTCGAACGGTTCACTGGGGTCATCCTTCTGCAGCTCCGCGGGGATCGGGATGCGTTTGTAGTACATTTCCCAGTCGAACGCCCCTCGCATGGCGTCCCCCGCCTGCGTCTCGTAGCCAAAGTTGTCATGGTCAATAACGTCGATCATTGGACACACGATGGTCTTCCTGTTCTGGGCGATCCGGTCTGAGAGGAGAAAGAAGCAGGCAGACATGTTGGCAGAGGGTTAACGACGGCAGACTGAGATTCAGGGCAGAGAAATATCTGCTCTCCGCTCGGCTTCACAGACGCCTGGAAGCTGCTGGGCTAACAAACACCAGACTTTCACATGTACAGAAATCCAAGAAGGGAGTTTATAAAATGGGAATTTAAATCTGTTGGTTATCAGACGTGTCAAAGAATTAAACAGCGAGGCAGGAAAAAGAGCTACTTGATGTTCAGGTTATGACTAAAATTAGTAGCTAAAATATTTTCTCACACTAATGTGACCTTGAATTAAAACATAAGGAAAATCTGTGACCGGCTGCTACCTACCACATGTTTGTTAGAAACAGCTAAAGTGACACAAAATGGTCAAACATTAAAGTCCAACATCCACCGTTATAGTCCCAAGAGCTCTTAAGGGATAATCACAGTTGTAGAATACAATGGTCATACGTTTGTTTGCATCCGGGTCATGCGAGTGTTAAAAAAATGTACACAAACAACTCAAGGAAACACCCGAACATACAGCTGATGGGTAGTGAAGGCTGAAGAAGTCATGCCAGGGACCAGACACAGGCAGGAGTATGTATTCACAGGCAGGAATATGTATTCACAGGCAGGAATATGTATTCACAGGCAGGAATATGTATTCACAGGCAGGAATATGTATTCACAGGCAGGAATATGTATTAACAGGCAGGAATATGTATTCACAGGCAGGAATATGTATTAACAGGCAGGAATATGTATTAACCGGCAGGAATATGTGCTCACAGGCAGGAATATGTATTAACAGGCAGGAATATGTATTCACAGGCAGGAATATGTATTAACAGGCAGGAATATGTATTCACAGGCAGGAATATGTATTAACCGGCAGGAATATGTGTTCACAGGCAGGAATATGTATTAACAGGCAGGAATATGTATTCACAGGCAGGAATATGTATTCACAGGCAGGAATATGTGTTAACCGGCAGGAATATGTATAAACAGGCCGGAATATGTATTAACAGGCAGGAATATGTATTAACAGGCAGGAATATGTGTTCACAGGCAGGAATATGTATTCACAGGCACGAGTATGTATTAACAGGCAGGAATATGTGTTCACAGGCAGGAATATGTATTAAAAGGCAGGAGTGTGTATTCACAGGCACGAGTATGTATTAACAGGCAGGAATATGTATTAACAGGCAGGAATATGTGTTCACAGACAGGAATATGTATTAAAAGGCAGGAGTGTGTATTCACAGGCACGAGTATGTATTAACAGGCAGGAATATGTATTCACAGGCAGGAATATGTATTAACAGGCAGGAATATGTATTCACAGGCAGTGAGCTCTTCCCCTCTTTCCTCTTCTAAAACAAATATTTAATCTTCCACTTCCTCATCAAAGTCCTCACTCTGTCACAAACTCCAGTTTATATATTTTTTTCTCTGCCTCTTCTGGCAGAAGGTTCTGACTCTACAGTTCCGTCCACTTCTGGGTTCACGGCTCCACCCATCACGTCAAACAGAAGCTGCAGCTTCACGTTCAAAAGTCGCCTCATTGTTTCGACTCACACTGAAACAACTAAACACTGACCACACTACATTAACTAAACACTGACCACACTACATTAACTAAACACTGACCACACTACAGTGCCCTCGAGAGCATCTACGATCATGCTCACCGCTCTCGCCTCCCCCCTCTGCAGAATGTCAACATCACTATGTGCTTGTTTGTGCGAGGTGTTTTTTAATATCAGAGTTTTTTCTTCTCAGGCAGGAAAAAAAAAGTCTGATAGGAATTTTTTCGCCTCCAATTCCTACATGTGTCCAGTTTACCACTTTTATTGTCTGTCCAAACAGGTCTCACTTGTAAATGAGTCTTTGAGGCTCAATGTGACTTATCTGTCTAAATAAAGGTTGAATGAAAAATTACACCCCAACTATAAAATCCAAACACGCTAAATCTCTCAAACGTCATGACTCACTCCCGCTCTCGCTGTGTCTCTATCGCCACAGGTTTAGTCACAAATCGTCACCAAAATGATGTTTTTAAAATCAGTTTGTGATACTTTACAAACACTGCGACAAAACAAACGTACATGTTTCTTTACCATGTAATGTTTTTTATCACTGCATCATAAGTATCTACAACTAATATTATATCCTAAAAAATAGGTTTACAAATATTTATTGTGTATACAAGGTATTGACTTAGTCTGAAATGTTTAATATAACAACTCTACATGAAATATATAGGTGGCACATTTGGCTCACTATTTGGTAAGAAACTGGTCAGTTTTGTTTCCCTTTCACCCTTAATTAATGCATAATAAACAATTATTAACGATTTATAAAATGTTTATAAAGGAATAAATAACCTATCTATAAATTATTTAGCATCTATAAGGGGAGCCTTATTGTAAAGTAGTACAAAAAATAAGACATTAAGATTTTAGAATTATTTTTGCCTGGAAAAACAGAAAAAAAAAAAACCCAATACGAATTAAAGATGAAGATTTCTTGAAGAAGCCGCTGCTGTCTTTCTTCACAAAACGTACAATAAGGTTTAAGAACTAAAGTTAAGATTAGGGTTTCATTCAGTCATTTCATATTAACTTATAAAGTCAATAACTTAAAATGATCATGTTAACTAAAGTTATATATTTAAGCTTTGTAAAATAAAGTTTAACTTAGAACTTAAACAATAGGTTTCAAATGTTTAAAGGAAGGTCTTGTTGGTGAAAATGCTCTGAGACAAATCATTTCTTGTTTTAAACACAAAAGCTTCAAACGTTGCTACCGCCGGTGGTGGTCAGAACCCCCTGAACTCTAAAACCTGAGGTTTGTTTCCGTGCCTTTGCCCAGCTGTATGTAGTAAACTCATTTCAAATAAAGGTTCAGGAAGTCTTCCTCACCCAGCAGAGGAGGCAGCCAGTTGATGTTGGCCTCGCAGTGAGAGTCCAGGAAGGTGATGACCTCGCCTTTAGCCATGGAGGCCCCGAGCAGCCGGGTCCTGATCAGACCCTCCCTCTTCTTGGTCCTTAAGATGCGAACCTTCGGCAACTGCACCATGTACTCCTCCAGCGCCGCCTTAAGGTGCTCTGAAACGAGAAGAGGAAGCAGAAATCATCAGATCAGTTCAAAGAACAGATGATTTCTAACGTTTGTCTTCTAACATGCTTGTTCTCCTGTAGACCTCTACATCAGCACACACTCATACCAGTAAAAAAATTGTGACGTTTTGATATCTTACTCCAGTTATTAGACAGGATGTCTGCCTGAAGAGAAGAATCCAACTGAGAGCATTGTTAAAATAATTAAATCAATATTACCATATCGATTCGGACAAAAACCAGCGCTTCTAAAATTATCATGTTTTACCAAACTTCATAAAAAGCCTTGTGCAGTTGACTCCTCTAATGATCTAATCAGTAGATAAAAGTATAATATCTGTGAAAATACAGTGAACACAGCGCTGAAAGTGAACAATAACAAAAACCTAAAACTGTTAAAACAGCAAAAACAGTCACAATTACAAATCCCCATTTATTTTAATGAAACCAAAAAGTTTTGATATCCGAATGGTTAGCAGCTGGAAGTTTGTTGAAGCGGTTAATTTCTGAACGATGTGCAAAACGAAACCACAAAGAGGAAAACAATTGTGTGAGTGATGACTCGGCATGAAGAAGACCACAACACGGAGGGAACGGTCTCCACGTGAGCGGTACGTTTGCAAAAAACTAAATTAAAATAATAATTTAAAAAAACCAGCAAATATAATGAAACCCAACAGAGCAGAACTCCACTGGAGAAATTCAGAATGAATTCAGAAAGTTGCTGCTGCCAGTGGCTCTTTAGGGTTGCCATGGTAACAGCACACTTGTGTCTGTCACTCCCTGGCAGCAGGTTTACAGTGTTTTACACAGGACGAGTTCCAGCGTTGAAGAGAAGAGTCGGTGGAAGTCACTGAGAGTTTGGGCGTGACCATTTCACACACACTGTGGGATTTGAGAGAAAACCAGAATACACACTGGGTGAACAAACACACAGACATCTACATTTTGATCTATATAAACTAGAAGAACTGTAACTTTCTGCAACATTTAAACGTTGACTGATGTTCCAGCTGTTGGAGGTGCAGAGCTCCGAACAGGCTCGTTTTGACAAAAATCACGAAGCACTGCTAATAAAAGGTACAGCACTTGACTGCCATGTGCGTTCCACACACAGATGGAATTGGTTATTTGATTTTTTTAACTATAGCACTAATAAATCAAACATTATGACACAAACAGAAGAAAAACAACGATAATAGGGGAGCTTCAACGCCACCCTTAAAAAGGCACAATCAATCTAACCCAACCCATTAACGCACGTTTTCCTCAATATTTCATCAGAGCTGCCTTTGACAGATCAATCCTGCCCCAAATGGAGCCTTTAAATCTTTCTGCTCAGACGCCAACCACATTCTGATGAGTCAATAAATGGAGAAAGTGAAATCTGGAGCTTAAGATTGCCTTCTTTCACCGCCTGGCCGCTGTCATACAGTCCCAGAGCTGCCGACGTCACCAAGAAGCACAACTGAAGACCTGCACGCTCAAGGTTTGTAATCCGTTCATCTCATTTCATCAGGAGAAATCAGCTAATCCCACCAATCATCTGCTTCAGTCTGAACTTCGATGCTCAGCATCTTGGTGAAATGAATCTGCCTTTTAATGCCATCTTGATTGGAGAAAAGTCTTAATAAGACGCCATATGGACCAAAGCAACAACGCTCATCCACACAGTCCAGTCCACTGCAGAGACGGATCATCAAATTCATGAAAAGAGACGCGCACAGGACTAAAACGATCGTCTGACAGACAACTCTGCTTCAGCTTCTTTTAATTCCTCCGTCTGCTGAAAAAATACAACCTGTTTAACTGCATCCTAAGCTGCCGTCTACAAAAAGGATGTTCACTGCCGTCAAGCTGCCTTCAAATGGTCCGTTCAGATTATTATGTTGTTCAACTCTCTGACGCTAGATGTGTGACGTTCCAAGATTTAAACTGCACAACACTGTTACTGATATTAACGATAACTGGATACTGATGTAGCATTTCATCTTTTACATGACCATTCACATTGGCTTTGACCACATATGGTTCTGATGTAGTGCTACTTGTTAAAAAGACTAGCGCCGGGCCAGACTGTCGTAAAAATAAAATAAATGAATCAGATTTGGGACAGCTTGCCCTGCAGTGTGAACGAAGCCTTAGTTTCCTTCTGTTCTCTGTTTGTAAACCTGAAAGCTTTAATAGGAGGAAATAACTTTTTTTGCACAATACCAGAAAACTGGTTTCATACTGTTAAAATACGAGATATAGCAGGTTTGTCTAACATGGACAGTGGTTCTCTACCACAAAAGAAACCTTTCTACACATTCACAAATTAACTTCTGACTAAAATCCAGCTGCTTTAATGATACCGTCATCATTAGCGCACGTTTTATTTTTTATTGTGCACCTTTACTCTTTCTCCCCACTATTCCTCTCTTTTTCTTTCAATCAGCTTTATTCTCTCAAAGTGTCAGTCCTGTGCAGCCAGGTAAAGAGCCTGCAGCAGGTGGACCACCTGAAGCCTCCACAGATGAATTCATCTCCCTCCAACCTCAGCCTCGGCTCTTCTGCGAGTTATTTATAATTGAGCCGGATTAAATGACAGCTAATTGTTTCAAGTCAAACAACATGGACAGTGTTTGGACTTGAGCAGAACCAGTCGTCACAGTTTAAGCTCATCTCTAAGGGATTTTAAACTACTGTTAGGTTCAATGCTGATATAGAAATTATTATTTTAATGCTTTTATGTCAATCTAGACTTA